ACTGATGTTCAGGTCGGTTTATACTCGAGTATATACTGTACGTACAACCATGTTCATTGCAGGGCTATTCACAATAGCAAGAAGATAGAAACAAGCTAAATGCCCATCCATGGGAGAATAGATAAACTTTGGTACATACACACAATGGAATACTACACATCAAAACCATGAAACATTTCATGACATAGATTTAGAGAATATTATGCTAAGTGAAGTTAGTCAATCACAAAAGAACAAATATTGTATGAGACCACTAATATGAAAAAATTAAGATGAAGTTTTCCTATCATATGAAACAGAAATTAATGGATGAGAGGGGAGGGGAAAGGGAGAAAAAGAAGTAGTAGGCTAGCAGGCAGATAAGGATTAGTTTGGGTGAAGGGGAAGAATATCCAAAAAGAGGGCTGGGGGGGCGTAGTGAAGGAACAGGGCAAGTGATGGGAGTGTTGTTGATAGGTTATGTAAGTAGATCTAGTGCCCAGCAGTGGATAGCCGCTAGCATTCTCTGAGAGCATGGGAGGCAAATACACCTCTTTCTTCCTTAAATTAGAATGAGTGTGTCTGTATCTTCACTTATATCTAAGAAAACTAAAATACAAGCTTTATAATGTAATCTTTAATAATGTCATGCAGGCTTCCTTAAAAATATGAAAAAGCTATAAAATACACGTGATGTTTCTTAAGTAGAAAATGAAATGAAGAATAATCTTTGTGTGTCTTACCTTTCCTCCAACCAAAGGCAAAATGTGCATCTTTCCAGTCTGACAATCCTTTACTGAGGAAACAATCAGGCAGGTGCCACAGAGAACAACTAAGCGTTCAGCCCACTTATGCAGCTGGGTCTTTCCCTTGCGTACACTGTAGATGCCAGACAGAAGAATTCGGTCCAGATGATCCATCTGGCATGGTTTTTCTGTAAAGAAAAGAGTATTCCAGAGTTCACCATTAAAGTAGTACAAAATGCACCGTCATCAAGTTGGCGTGAATGCATAGTGACCCTGTAGCATAAAAAGCAGTATCAGAATGCCAAAAGGGAAAAAGAAACCAAAAATTTGCGGTCACTGAGTCAACTCCAACTTACAGTAACCCTAAACAGGGTCTCTGAGGCTGTGATTCTTTATGGGAACAGATAGGCTCATCTTGGACTCACAGAGTGGTTGGTGAACTTGAACTACAGGCCTTGTGATTATCAATCCAAGGTTTACTTGATAATGCCACAGTTTCCTAACATTCAACAATCCTATTTATAGATATAAGTGATCAAGCAAAACAGGTTTTAGAAAATAAGTTTTCAATCCTAATTACTGATGTTCTATAATTGATTATCTGAATTTTGGCTTAAAAAGCAGGATTTTACTTTGGCTGCCACTTTTTTCCTTTTGTTTTTTTTTTCGTACTTTTATTAGGGGCTCTTACAACTCTTATCACAATCCATACATGTATCCAGTGTGTCAAGAATATTTACACAAATGCCACCACCATCATTTTCAAAGCATTCTCTTCCCACTTGAGCCCGATATCTGTTCCCCATTTCTTCCCCGTCCCTCACCTTCCCGCCCTCCCTCACAAACCCTCGATTACTTATAGATTATTGTTTCCATATGGTACATCGTCCTCCGTCGCCCCTCACCTACTTTTCCGTTATTCGTCCCACTGGGAGTGGATTCTAGACTGATCATTATGATTGATTCCTTTCTCCCCCCACCCTACCCTAGTTTTCGTGGTATCGCTACTCTCCTTGTTGGCCCTGAGGGGTTTATTTATCCTGGATTCCCTGTGTTTCGGGCTTGTATCTGTAGCAGTGAGCATGCTCTGGTCTAATCCATTTTGTAAGGTAGAACTGAGATCATGATGGTGGGGGGGAAGGAAGTACCAAAGAACTAGAGGAAAGCTGTGTGTTTCATTGGTGCTACACTGCACCCTGACTGGCTCATCTCTTCCCTGTAACCCCTCTGTGAGGGGCATTGGATCTCCACTCCATCCCCCCCCACCCAGATGGGCACTGGGTCTCTACTCCATGCCCCCCCCCCACCCAATTCATCTTGGGTATGATTTTATTCTGGGTCTTAGATGCCTGATACCTGATCCAATCGATACCTTATGATCACACATGCTGGTGTGCTTCTTCCATGTGGGCTTTGTTGCTTCTGAGCTAAATGGCCAGTTGTTTATCTTCAAGCCTTTAAGACCCCAGATGCTATATCTTTTGATAGCTGAGCACCATCACTTTCTTCACCACATTTGCTTATGCATCCATTTTGTCTTCAGCGATCGTGTTGGGAAGGTGATCATCAAAGACTGTCGGAATGTTAGAACAAAGTGTTCTTGCATTGAGGGAGTACTTGAGTTGAGGCCCATTATACACGTGAAACCTTAATTCTTAACATATAGATATAAGTACATAAATATATTCTCCTATGAGAAGTACCACTTAAGACCCAGAGTTATATTTATCTCTGTCTTCTTTCTTGACAAATTCCTATAATGTTGCCTCTTAATTACTGGGTTGTTGGTCATTATCTTCTATAAGAAATACATGATAGGATTTATTATCTTTTTGTCATATTTCACTTTTCTTACACTGAAAATATTCAGAACACTGGGTTGTGTGTACCACTGCCAGTTATAACTAGAAACTTTAAAAAGATAAAAATGTCAAGCTTTTGAAATTTCCCAAATTTGGTCACATCTAGTGACATAGCCAGTTGATCTCAGTAAGTGAAAAATCACTCCATTCACTTGGAGGAAGGCTCATAATACTGTTTATCAGCAGTTTCATCATCTTTACATCTGAGTTGCTATTAGGTTTTGAAAAAGATTGTGTATTTCATGGCATATGGTAGTTCATATGAGAGTTAATGGGAAATTACTCAACAAAAATAAAATTAAAAACCTTAGGGAAAAAAAACAAGAACTGAACAGATTTTGGCCAACACACAGTCCTTAAACTGATTACAGCTTTCCTTTCATGTTGTTGTTTTTGTTTTGTTTTTTGGGGGGGAAGAAAATAACTTTATTTTCATTAATTCAAATAATTATATCACAACAGCTAGCTTAAGGGGGCTACACAAACCCAGCCCCAAACATGTGACATCATCTCAATACAGAAGAAGGCCTTCTTCCAAGGTGATTCTTAAAGCAAGGAAGTGATTAATGATGGAGGAAAGGTTTAACTTGTACACGTTACAGGGCCACTATCAGTTATCGATTTAGGCTAAATTAACTTGGTCATGACAGATGAATTTTCCTGTTCCTCGGTCTGAATGTGATTAGGCCAATCCATTTGCAAATTTGCACTGCTTCAGCACCTCACTGAAACCCTCGCAGAGCTTGAGGTCGCCCTGGTTCTGGGCAC